AATCAAGTAAATTTTTAGGATTTTTAAGTAATAAACATGTGTTTTACAGTTACTTGCTTGGCAATATATTTTTTCTGTGTTTTATATTAAGCAGGACCAATAGTTTTACGTTGTACTACAAAAGGATGAATACACATGTATACTGCGTGGTGGGAATTTCGGTAGTCGTGTGAAAATAAAGGGATATCACCTTGAAAATTGCAATGCGTAGGTGGTTTCCGCTGCGTATGTGGAGACGAGTACGATTACATCGTATTGAACTTCCTTCATTATGTCTTGAATCCTTCTGTAATTCCTTTTTATCGGTCGTTTCCAGTGCTTGCTCTGCTTTTTGTGGGTATCTTAAGCGGTTTAACACTTATGAACTCGTTTCTGTTTTCCCGTGAAGAAGTCTTCATGAGTCTAAAAAAGGCCTTTTGTTTTGATATATATATGAATCTGGTAACGTCCATGTAGCAAACGCCTCGTATCATAGAAAGGAATAAAAATTGTAGATTTCTTTGTCGATTTTTGTCCATCGGAGTAATAGCAGACGAATCGAAAATGGAGCAGTTCAATGATTAGGAGGGAAATTGAATTATTACTGGATTGTTTAGTTAAGAGAATAAGTTCTTTACAATTAGGCGTATTCGTTGTTTCCATCTTCTTGTCCATATTGGCGATGTTAATTCAAGACTCCTCAATTTGGGATTTTCACGTTTCGTACGGCATCACCGCACAGTCATTTTAATAGACTATCAATAATATATATTTTATGAAATAAAATTGCTGAAGCATAACGTAAGAATAGTCGATGAAGCGCATCCGATTTTGGCACTAGATTCGAAATGGCTTTAATGGAACTCGCTGGATTTAGACGATGAATATATAAGAATTGATATGGTATAGTGTTTTTGAGATTACATCAGATGCTAAAATTTCTGCACATCCTGCTCATCTATGCCGCAAGTTGCTAAATACGTCGGGGAAACATTTACAATAATATTTGGAAGAGATGATGATGTCATCGACTCAAGTTCTCGAAACCATAATTGTGTGGGATAGGGATTGTAAATTTAGTGGTGGAGGAGCAGGGATTGTAAATTGGATGGAATGAAGTGACGACTCACTGTACTGTTTTCTGGTGACCGACGAAAAGTTTTTCTCGTAAGGCACAAAAATTAGCCTTAATTGCTTTTCTCCTTTATTCTATTTTTGATTGATGTTTCATACGTCAGTCGCAGCTGGGAACTGAATTTCTGAAATTGATGGGTTACGGTAGTAGGGAAATAAGGGAAAATGGGAAGAGGCTCAACCCTAAGCACTTCAATCTTTTAACAGAAAAGACAAGTCTAAAATTCGTCTTCCCAAAATCATATTTTCCTCTCGCTTTCTATCTACTTGTTTATAAGTAAAAGTGCATTTTTTGCTTTGTTAGCTGCGTAGCCTTTCGAATTTTTTATTCATTTTCCCAGCGGCAATTTTTTTTGCTAAGAATGCGTTTTTCTGTCATTTATACACTGATATAGCTGAGGGAGAGGAAGTTTAATGCTGAATTTCTTAAAGGAAAGATTCGAACAATACTGTGGACGGAGCAGGAAGAGATGCGTGAAGATAGAGGGAGAGTGAGCAGAGAGGAATGGATTGGGAGAGAGTTCAGAGTAGTGTGATCGTCATCGAATGAGAGAGAAGCGAGGCCATTGTCGTCTCCCTATTTCACTTCAAACTCGTTATTTCGAAGGGACTTTTTACAGATGATGAACATGCATGCTCTTCTCTGACACAGTACTCTCTCGTGGCTGGTGGTTCTAGCCGTCTAACGTTAGCACACTATCTGGTGTTTATGTATTCCTTGGGTTCAGTGCAGGAGAGGAGAGGAGAGGAGAGGTGAGAAAAGGAGAGGAGGATGTGGATGGCCCCTCGGTACATTTTCTTCGATTCAGCGAGCACCGTTGTGCACTGAATGATCAACAACAGCACAGCACAGCAGCAACCCTACCCATTCGTTCTGCAAGCGCCCATCTCTTGGGGGACATCCAACGTGAATGTGGCCTTCTATCGCTCCTTTCCAACATATCTCAGCATCGACACACCACACTCACCATACCCTCCGTACCCATACCATTCCATCGAGACACACACAGCGAGGGACGCGATTGGAGGAGGGGACCGAGTCGAATAAATTGTTCGTCCAGAAAGGCTCTGCATATACATTCCGCTCATCTTTACCTTACCTGATCCTAATAACATTCTTACATATATACACTCATCCCTACTATCACCAGTACTGACGTGACACGCCAACAGTAGTTGTGCCAGCCATCAATGATCTTTTAAGCCCCATCTTCGCACCCTCTCGCCAGAGGTCCTACTAATTCGCATCAACTCACCAATGTTTTCGAACGCCATCAGCAATATGATTTTAAAAACACTGACTAGAGAATACGTGAAATATTACATCGTGGTAGTAACAAATAAAGCAACCTTACCATTAAAATATGTAACTTCCGACTGCTCTTTGGCAGTTCTTTCAGGGTTTATATCGTGCAATCTAAGCGAAAGACATTTTTCCTTTTTTCGAGGAGGGGGGGGGAATGATTTCACTTAGTGGTAGATACTTCACAGAGCATTCAAATATGGCAAGGCATTTGTCACAATATGGGGTGTATAGGGGAAAAAGTGAGGCTAGAAGGAACAATAACAGCTGAGTAGTTTATTATCACTGATCCCTTGACGTTTTTTTCCCTTTCTTACACTGGAGAAAAAGAAATTATCAATGAATTTTAAGGTTTGAATTGATGTTCGTCCCTTACGAACATGGAATTTATTGCTGAAAGTTAAACATTCCGTAATTATTCTATATTAATCTATTAGTAGGATTAAAGAATTAGAGTTTCAACGTTTGCTTTTCGATAGCTATTTTTGAATGCACATTGAAAATGAATTCTTCAATATGTAAAATGTTTTCATAAAGACAGCTATAATATGTAGCTTGCTAATTATATGGGAGTTGACAGAATTCGATGGTCTTTCCATTTCATTTTTATAATACATGTGCGCAAAAAAAACTATAAAATTTATTATACCATCAAGAAGCTGGAGTAAATATATAATCTGAAGTGCAGTTACGTTTGGAAGAACTGAATTTTGAACATTATGGAAGACTTCATGATTTCAGAATTTAATGGAATACAGTGTAAAGGAGAAAACGGTAGTTTTGAGCTGTTGATCGTTGTGCTTCGATTATAATTTCCACTCATTGCCTATCTCATATGAAAAATATGAAGTATGCCGTAACTGGTTCATTGAAAATATCGCAGGAAGTAGTATATGTAAGCAATGGAACATTGCAAAGTTGTGGACACGAGATAACATGATGTAAAATGATTTCTAGCTGCCGCTTCTCTTTAGAAACGAGGAATTTATTGCTTGTTGGGGAATTCCCATGCACTTTTGTTTGGTTGTTTAAAAAAAGAATGAGAGAAGGTTTGAAGTCGGAAACACGTGGTCATATAAAGTGTATTTGATGCGGGGTAGGGATAGGGGATGGTTTTGGGTCGTTGATGTTCTTAGGGAGATGGGAATAATTTGTATGTATGATATGACGATCATCAGATGGTTGTAGGTGGGAAATGGATAAGAAGCCATAAGGAAGGGATGCGAAGAAAGTATATGTTCATAAATAATTGCACACCCGTAAGACTAGTGGCTTAGGTATTGCCGAAATGCAAAACCTAGTGACGTCGTCATCAAACAATCGTTTCAATAAAGAACACTTATTGGAGAGATGGAAAGAGTGGAGGATGTTTTTTTTTTTTTTGTGCTGATTGTTTTTCTTGCTGGTGATATTTATCATCTTGATTAGCAAGTTGACGACATCACTTGATGGATTCCAAACTCATTTGAACACTTGGGTTAAAGGTTGAGAGGCAGGAGTTTTCTTCTCCTTTCAAGTCTTTGAAATTTTATCTTGTTAAAAAGATAATTTTTAACATAGAAGTGGATCTTCTGTTAATTTGTCAAATTTATCAAAACGTTAAGGTGATTAAAAAATTTTAATGAAGGTTGAACTTAATTTATGCATAGAAAAGAATTCATATAATAAACAGTTAAAGAGAATGCTGATAGTTCAGATAGGATCGGTCATTATATGAAGTTTAAGGATTATTGGTAGCATTGTTTTACAATAAATCTCGTTGCGTAGTTACTTTTGTCATTCCTGTGTATGGTTGTACAATCGTTACTATTTGAAAAATCTCATGTGAAGTTTAGATGTGTTTTGCAAATTTTGATTGAGACCCAGCAACATTTTTAAAAGGAAAAGAGTCAATTTCAAATTTTTGCAGCAACCGTCACCACTTGCGAATGGTAGCTATAGTAATCCGGGGTCGGTCGGTCTTCAAAAAGGTAATGTGAAAGGAAAAGTGGCCGGAAGATCGGATTCGCGAGATGTTGTGTTTTCACCGGCTGTTGGTCAAGGTGGACCACCACCGCCACAAATGCCATTACACATACAGAATTCGCCAGTTGGCACTGCACTACCCGGCACTGTCCGAATGGAAGTACCTTCATCTAGTTCTACACTGGGTAACTACTTTATTTGGATTGACTTTGTTCATTAATTTTGATAATTCGCCTGAGCAGTGTATTTCAGAGCAAGTTAAAGAACATGTCATGAAACCATCATTTGATAGATTATGTTCTCTGCTTAGTTCAACTTTAGTGTTACATGTCTTATATAGAAAATGTTTGATCTTTTGGGATCAAACATTATGTGAGACTAGAAAGACTATTCGCTATCGTATTCAAATGTGACCGAATCACTTGTTATCTGGAAATAGTTTTCTCATTTCAGGACCTCAACAAATGCAACAGCAGGTGCCCAATCAACAGAGTATGGGTCCGGTTCCACCTTCTGGTTTGTTTTTGTTTATTTTTGTATTTTTCCAGAATTGAATTTTGAATTAGGATAATAGAATTTCTTCTAGTTTTTTTTTCTACTTCAAAAATATAACAAACGCTTTGCGTTGCTTGCAGCTTATTCAGCTGGTATGTATCCATCTTATTGGCCACCACAGCAGATGCGCTATATACAACCAGGAAATTTACATCCCGGCCATTATTACCCAGTGCAGAATCAAAGTCCCATGCCACCATCAGGTAATCTGGATTATAATTTTAAGCAAAATCTAAGACCCTCAGTGTTAAGCAATGACTAAAATGTTACAGCATATTTTTCAGCCTTTTCCGGATATGGTATACCACCAGGAGTACGCCATATGATGCCAGCAGGTTCAGCTAAAATGCAGCAACCATCACAAATGGAAATACAACGTATGCCGAATGGACCGGTGCCATCTGATTGGCAGTCCAGAATAACTACTCCAAAATCTCTTCCGGTAGGTACTAATGAAAGTTTATATATTTTTTTCAGTTTATATTCATCATATTCACAGAAGGAATTTCAGTGGATTCTTCGAGCTTACTCATATGTTTGGACCTCCTTAGGTTTATCATTGGTCTAATCTAAGATTAAATGAATGTTTCTTGGCCATCATTTTTTTCCCTAATACGTAGACTGTTAAATTTATATTTTATTTTTTGCATTACAGGAAACAGTGCAACAAACTACTGGACAGCAGTCATTGACTCCTTCGTCTGGAATACCAGCACCAAGTCCTGGGGGTACCTCTTCAGCTGCCGATGAATCGTTGGAGGATTCCAAATCTTTGCCCGGTGCATCCCCGAATCCATGGCCTCATACGCCGTCACAGATGAGTCAAGGACATGTAAGTTTTTGTTTTGAAATTTTGAAAGCTAACTAACTTGAACATGTTTTACTTTATGATTGTACTTTGCAGAGGACCCCGGTGCCTGCAAATCGACCAAATACACCCACAGTGAACAAACGGCAAGATCCAACATCCATTATTGATAGACTAGTAAGTTTGTTTCTTTGGTCCATTGAGGAATCTGATTTTTGTCGGTCTTTACATTTAATTTGAATTATTAAAAATCAGTTATCTAACGAAATCATTAAACCATAGGATGAAATATGGAGTAACTGTTACAGGATTTTCTTTTAATTTCAAAGAATTTCAACGTTATTTCAGGTGGGACCCGTAACTGCTATGAATCCGCAACACATTATGCCTGAGAGGAGAGCTTTTTTCGAAAAATTGGTCCAGTTCTGTGAACAACAGGTATGGATTCATTTGGTCGGTAAGAAAGTTGCAACAAAGATGGATGTTGTTATTCAGTCCAATTTTTCAAAACATTATTGAGCTGCAAATACTCTGTTAAGCTAATTCTCTTCAAAAATTGGTTGAAAAAACTTCGATTTTTTGGGGAGTCGTCTCAATTCAATTTTTTCATTTTTTTTAATTTTCAGGGCGAACCAATTACACAGGTTCCACAGGTTTCAAAGCAGACGGTCGATTTGCATCGTCTTTATTTAGCTGTAATGAAACGTGGTGGTTTTGAACAGGTAGTTGGCATAATAACACTATTTTTTGTAATTTTATCTCTTATTAATTCCGTGTATTTGGATATTCAATATCCTTCCAACTTTTTTTCTTTCTCTTGATTTGTAATGGTTTTGATGGGGTTATAAGAAATCCTGCTTCACAGCTTCCAATAAATTCTGCTTCAAGGGAAATTTTTCCTTACTTGAATTTTACAGGTAACGCGCGACAAGACATGGAAACAGGTTTGTACAGAAGCAAATTCGGAGATGTCCGAGTCGTCTGCAGCTGGTTACCAGTTAAGGCGACATTATCAGAAATATTTGCTAGGATTGGAATGTTTGGAAACGGGCAAGAATGCTAGTGAGGTGGTTGCATTTGCAGAGCGTTTGAAAAAGCGCCGAAAAGATAACAAGGATCATAATGCGCAACAATATCCAGGACCTGGTATGCTTTAATTGGTCTTCAATATATAATAATGGAAAATCTGATGAAGCTGACTATGATGACAGCTTTACTGTTTGTGCAAAATGTTAGACGTTTTTTAATAACATTTGCTTTGAATTCTCAGTGGTCAGTGTAGTTATTGATTTAGGAACAATCTTAGATCTTATAATGGGATGACCATTATCCTGAAGTTAAGAAAATTAAGTATATATGGTCTCTCTTAATCTGATAAAAAACTACTTTTCACTGGTATTAAGTTATGAGATATTGGTAGATTTTATTTACAATATTAAAAGAAATATAGAGAAAATACGATACTTCGGTAATTCTGTTATACGATAAGTAAAAACAGTACTCATTTTATTGCTTCGCAAATCGGTAGCTTTTGTTGAAATAGATGAGCGAATGAGCGAGTGAGCATTCATTGGGTCATTTTTTTTTGTTTCTGAAGATTTAAAAAAAAATGCTTTTTACTTTTATAAGAGCATTAATCACTACTAGTTATGCCTTTAAATATTCGAGATCTAGTCGTGGTTCCGTGCTCTTTGGTTATGCGATTACAAGAGGTGAAGCGTAGCAAGTGCGAAAACTATGATATGTTTAAGCATAAATTCAATTTTATCATTCCTATTTTTGTAAGTTTAATGATTGAAAAACGCTTGTGAAAAATGAGAGGAAGATCAAGTTGGCTAAAGGATATAGACTTCCTCTTCAGCTCAGATGAGAGGTGAAATAAGTTGCTCTTAAGCTAAGGAAGACATCATTTCCTTTGTCCTCATTTGGATCAATGAAAAATAAGCATAAAAGGAGGATTTCATTTAGTTCCTTTTTTCTTCTTCGGCATTTTCCGATAGTCAGAGTTGGAGGTAATAATACTAGTCATAGATTAATCGTGCATGGCACTTTTCTGTACACTTTCTCTTTTATTATTGTTCTCTTTTTTCTTTTGTTTCATCTGCTCCTTCGGCAGCATTCCGTATTTGTGACGTCATCGAGATTTCGTTTGCTTTGGCTTGTTGCCATTAGCTTATGGTTTCAAAGAACCATTATTCTCATAACAAATTTACGACATTTTCTTTTATTCAAAAAACTTTTTTTGACATGCGACAGAAATTTCCACTGAAAGGATGGACTGGTAATTATTGACTTCTTTGTAACTGCTTCTGGCTATTATAAAACTTGTGGAATTTCCAACATACAAGTGTTTCGAATTTAGTGAGAATTTATCGATGATATAGATTGGCATCACTTCCAAACTCTGTACTTCTTGATACAAAAATTGTCTGTTATCCGCGGTTGTGTAAACCACGTCCTCGTTTACTTATTTGTCTGTGCCGTATAACTGCATCAAATTTAATTTTCATTTTTATATTTTCTCGGAGTTCTTTGATTATCTTGAAATAGCTGATAAAATTTTTCCGTCCCCATTCATTTGTCCTCTACAAACTTATCTAGAATGGAATGGAAAACAGGCTTTCTGTTGTTCAATTGTAGGCGTTATATCCCTATCATCTTATTGCGAAATAAATTATAATTGGTTGGATCAGAGTAGAGAGTATTGGGATGAAATTCCTTGATATCAAACATGTTTGTGTGTAGTTGATAGAGGTTGATCCCATATCGTTACTTTTTTCGTATGTCCCGATTAGAATCGATTGAAATTTAATTCGTGGTAATGACTGGTTAACATACCAACTATTTGGATTGGTTTGAGCGTTTTTTCTAGCATTTTTAACTAGATACACTGACGTGAATTCGTATGGAATGAAAGTTGGGGATACGTAAACAGAATTCTGCTCATCATGAAACTACAGAATTATGTGATGTTACCAGTTAAGGTTTTTGTTTATTTTAAGTGTGAATTAATTTCCATTTGATAAAAAACTGTTTTGATATCCCAACTTTTCCAGTTCGATCAAGTCTTTAATTATCAGAAAGGTTATAGGTACAGGAATGGAGGAAGATCAGCTATTGGTAACAATGCTTATACATAACGTTTTTCTTGTCATATTAATTAAAACCTAACCTAATGTGCGAGCAACAGTAACACTTTTTGTTTGCAAGCCTTTTTTATTTGAATACATGACTGATTGAAAGGGCGGTGATGTTTCTCACGTAAATGCAAATTACGTGTTTGCCAACAACGCTTCAAAAGTTGGACGAAATGATCTACGAAATTGTTTCATGGCATTTGCATTCTTCTCTCTCACTAATTGATTACCACTTTTTTGGTCATTTCGACAAGTTTTATGAGGATTCTACAACCAGCAAACTGCGGGGAATGCTTTCCAAGAATTATTGAAATCTTAATAAAACACTGATTGAGAAACAAAAAAAGCTGCTTTTCGGCAGAAAATTATTGTTTATCATGGCTGTTGTTTGACAAATAAAAATGTGCCAACATAGTAAGTAATCTAAAGTTTATAACTGGAAACCGTGTCAACCTTGAACATATGAAGGGAAGTTAAAATGCTGCGTCCAGCGAGGGATGCAAAGAGGAAGCAGAGAAAACGCACTACTTTCACTTAAACTTATTTTTCCTTACTCTAATCGACGAATTTTTATTTCAGAAAACTCCCTTACTCTTTGAAATGTTGTGTTGTTTCATTTTTCGTACCAACCTAAACTCCATTCTTTTCTGCGGGCGTTTTTTTTTTTGTTTTCTAACTATATTGAGCTGTTTTAATGCTGCTATTATTTAACTGCGGAGAAACTGTTTTTGAGAAAGATTTCGGATGAAGTCTTCAGTTTGATAAGCAATTTGAGAATATAGGAACATTCTCTACTAACCGTGCACTTTTCTTAATTGACGTGGAAATCTGAAATACTACGTAAGGAAGTGTTGAAAACTGCAAAGTTGCAATATCTGAGAAATTCTGTGTTCAGAGTACAAAAGTTATTTAAATTTTACAAGTTATTTAAATTTAGGAATTCAATTTTTTAGTAGTATTAGAATAAGTGTGGGTTTATGAGATGATTGATGGTTTTATAAACAAGAGGATCCTTGTTATTATCAAAATACTATATTAAGAAAATTATGAAAGCGAATAGCGTTTTCGTTTATTATAGATAGGATATCACTTAAAATATTGTTTCTCACTGCCGTTCTTTGTTCCATAGCTTTTCTTGTTGCTTTGTTTTCCACGCAGTCATATTCCTGCAACTATTACGTTGGTGTTCGAGCAGTCTTTGAACTTATCACATCTTACAACTTGATCCTGCATCCGCAACAGTATCCTTTTCCATTTAATCAAATGTGAATAATAGTCGTTATTTTGGTCGTTATCTTCATCCGTTTTTTCTCGTCACAACTGATGGGGAAACCCATGTCTGTCCTTTAAAGCTATTGCTAACGAAAACTATAGTTGAAGCAAACTAGTGGGTAAAAAGTAAGAAGGAAGAAGCCACAGTTCGGCAGTAGTAACAACATGGAAGGAGAAAGATAGGATGGAATGATTTTGGTTTACATCTAACTGCACGAGCTATAATATAGCCTAGGCCGCTCGGGGTGTTTTTTTTATTCTGCTTGAAGGTATTCGCTAACTCTTGAATCTCAGACCGGCTAATCTGTTGTCCTAACTAATAGTGTCAGCGCACTTCGGGCTTAAACTCAGTAACCGAAGTTAGTTATGGTACAACAACCACTATTTTTGGAAGAGAATAATTGAAAAGAAACAGTAACTACAGATGAGACAAATTTGTAAATAAATATTAATTAAAAGTTTTTTCTGTCAAAATGGTTAAAGTGATGGAGCATTAGTCATTCGTTTATATATTTTTCACTTTTTCTGGAAGAATTTCCCTAGAAATGTTATTGCCATCAAAGAATATTTTTATGTTAGAGTAAAAAAAAAATGTATTTATGAGAAGAAGTAATGACATCATCAACCACAAATTTACAAATCAGTGCCTTCTCTCCACTACCCACTTTTTTCACATTTATTTGCTGTTGATTAATGATTGCTGCTGTTTTATTTCTGCTGCAATATAATAATATTGCAGCAGAAATAAAATATAATAATAGGCATATATTCATATTACTATTAATAACTTGTGCCATTTATTATCCAAAATGGCACAAGTTATTAATAGTAATATGAATGACGCAGTAACTCTGTTCCTGCTGCCTGCAAAAATTCTGTTTTTGTGCTGATGATGTTAGGGCGAGATCACATGGCCTTTTTTAACCTTTATGAATGTCTTAATCTTTCGTTGATAGGTGAAAATTTCAATTGAAGTTTTAATCGTAATTTTGACGCCAAGAACCATGTATGTAGCCTCTATCAGTTTTACAATCCGAAGCAATCATTCTCCTTTTCTTCCACTACAGCCTGGCTGTTTTCAACATTGATCATTACAACCGCTTCAGTTCCCATCTTCTGGAATCTCTCAGCAACAGTCTACGCCTTTATTAAAATATTGCCAGTAACATCAGCCTTGTATTTTATCTTGCTCTAATCCTTATTCTTTCTCTTTTTACGATATCTACAGTATCCAGCAGCAGTGTCTTTAGGTGTGATATCGTACAGCTCAGTCACTGTATTAATGCAACTTCGTACTCACAATGTATATTGCATTGCTATCAACAACAGCTACACTGTGTAGAACTGCAAAAGCAGACAGTAATCAACAAGTCCCACATTCAAAAAATAGCAACGCAGGGTATAATTATTAGCAAAGTGTTCCTATGTGGAGGTACCAAGTGGGAGTTTCGTCATATCTGAGTAAGCTGTTTAGAATCATGAAGTTCAATTGATTTGTGGAAGTTTTCAAATTTGTAGTGTTTAAGGATTTTTTATTAACACTTCAACTGAAACAAATACCAGTTAGATTATATGCAAAGTTCTAGGCTTGGTAGGCCGAGGAAAAAAGGAAATTGCAGCAGAAAAAGAAATTAACGGAATGCTATTCATCTGTAGTAAAAATGCGAAGCGCTGGAGAGGCAGATTAAATCAATGGAAATAAAGCCAATTTTTAAAGATAATTCCGGGATTTTCTCTTCCTTTTGAATTTATAGGACTTCTAAAGATATTCTCTGAAATTTATTGCTTACGATAATTTGATATTTCTAGTTACCTTGCGAATAACAAAGATTTAGTTTGGATTTAATCTGCTTCCTTTCATGGCGGATTGAAATTTTAAGGCCTCATGTGGAACGCATGAGGAAACAATGTGCAGCACACACTGTTTTTGAAGCTCTAGAAATTATTACTTATGAGCATTTGAAAAAAACTTATCTAAATAAAAATATGAATATTGCTAACGATATCTGTTAAGTTACAACATCTGTTATTCTAGTTGTTAGATTGCATTCTCTTTGAGAACAAAATTTTTTTTGACCTCAGTTGTAATGAGATTACTTATCATCAAATCGGCGTTCTGAAAGAAGATTGTCGTTTCTTCTGTTTCTTCATTTTCATTATCATTTATTTAGACACCGGTTCAAACTGCTTATTAATGAATTCGTGCACCGTTGCTAATTAAAATTTGCAGCTACCATAATATATTCATTGAGGTCAGAACTCGATTTTAATAGATGATTGTCTTATTAAAATAAGAGAATGCTCATATATTGTCGTTCTTTAAATCGTGGTATTAATGTGTTATAGGTGGCGTAGTATCATGTTTTTTATTTGTTTGAACTTCTGAATGGATGGCAAAAGTATGTATAATGGAGTCGTTCTTTCTTTTGGTTTTTTTTTCCTTTTTTTAATCCTTCCGCATTACCGATATTTTGTCCTTTTTTGACGTCATTCTTTTTTGATGTTTGTAAATTTATTTTCATCGTTATCTTTCTAATCCACGCTGTCATTGCTCATTCTTTCTGACTCATTGCTTGCTGTCTTATGGTAATTGGAAACAATGTAGATTCTGGTCGTATAGTATGTATGTAGGTTCTCTTAAATATTAAGTTCTAACTGGTTCAATATCTTGTAACTGCATGAATTATAGCAAAATGTTTAGTTTAATTATGAAAAGAGGAAATGAGTGAAATAGCTTTCTAGATTTGATTTTTCAATGAATATGATTTCTTTTTTTAATTTCAAACAAATTAGTCAATAGAAAGCTATAAAAGAAACCCACTTTTTAAATCTAAATTTGTATTTGTTTGAAAAGAAAGGTTTGTCTTTTTGCCACTGCCATAGTAAGCAGAGGAACCCTGCTTATTTTGTACTTTTCGTTTTTCAGTAATCATATATATATATATATATATATATCACTAGATCTCTATTCCGTTTTGTTAAGTGTTCTTTCAGAATTTAAGATTTAATCAATTTTAGGCCAGCCAGGTTCGGCGGGATATGGTCATTTGGGAGATGCGAATGCAGCTTACTTTTATGGTAGCGTTGATCCGAGCATGCAAGGACGACTGCAAGGCCCAGTTGGTTGGCAGCCTCAAGGTTATCCGCCTGGTACTGCCGTCACTGGTCCACCGGGTGCTCCCATATATCACCCCGGTATGCGACCTGGTGCTCCAATTCGACCTCCTTTGCCACCTCAAATGATGCAGGTAAAGTTAATTTCTGCCTCAGATAATTTTGCACCTTTTTATTTTCGATTCAGCAGTCGGAAAGGTACTATAGTGCAAATTTAGTCAGTGATAGCAATTTATCGGTTTTATGTTAGCATCTCATAAGCATTAATTCTTTCTGTATATAAAATAGCTGCACATAATTGTATTTCAGCAAGGTCCAGTAATAGATGAGCAGCAGAGGTACGAAGAACAGCAGCGGCAACATTATTTTCATCAACAACAAGCAGCATATGCTGTCCAGCAACAGTTACCGCGTACAACAACTCCTTCGTCTACCTTACAAGTCAGTTCAGAATTTTCACTCATTCTGAAAAGGAAAAAAATATTTTTATTATCATTACTGATGCTCTAAACTAACCCATTATGTTGATATAAAAACTGGTTTATCAGGAGTCAGATAATTGTACAGGTCTTTTTAGTTGGTGATAGAAAGAACTCTTTCATTCTTTTTTCTATATTATTGATATGTGTATGACTGAATTTAATAGAAGTTCATTCTTTTGTGAAATACTCAAGTACCACGTTGTTATCTCATGTTATTTATTTCATATTCAGGTTGACAGTCAGCAGGGTCAGGGTTCACAAAGTCGAGCACCAAGTACAGGTCCACCATTGGCTACGACTCCAGATAGTAATAGCAGGCAATCAGCTGAAGACAATACACCCTTACGGCCACCAAGTCATCCACAACAAGTACCAAATCCAACGACCTCTTGTAACATCCCGTCATCTGGACCGTCACAACAGCAGCCTTCCGGTCAGTTATTTGTGTGAGATTCTGATAAGCTTAAGTTCTTGCAACTATTCCGCTAACGTTTTAGATTAATCTTACAAAGAAAACATATTGTTGCTTTAACAAAATGATAGTTAATCCAATGTTACTATTGATAGGGCTGTTACTTTTTAATTATTATGATATTGACAAGTTTACATTTTTTTGCAGTGCCATATTATGGGCAATCGCACACGTCTCAAATGTATGGTGCAGCGGGCTTACGTCCAGGAACTGGGCCTCCTGGAACCCTGTCAATGAAAACTGGTACTTATCATCAAGCTTATCCACAGTCTCAGTCCGGATACTCCGCCCATAATTACCAGGAAGGCTACCAAACAATGCATCCTGGAGTAGCAACTCAAATGTACCAGCAGCAGGTCATTTTTGCATTCACTTGTATTTTCAGTAATCTACGTAGTGGCTCTGATCTACTTTCTCATGAGCAAGTGATCAAGAAGGTTCTTGCTCAGAATGTGCAGCATAGGTGTAACTTCAATATTGAGAGCAACAGCAAAAAATTACGATTGTGATAAAATTCTACAACTGTTACGGCAGAATAACCAAATTTATCTTTATAGACAGCTATGTAGCAACCTACAATTGGTAGATTGCAAACCTGGCTGTTTGAAACTGAAGTCTGTATCTCAATTGAATGGTAACTTTTGTGATGACTTAAAAAATTCTTTACTTAAGTCAGGTTATTAAAAACACTGGTTGGTTACAGTTGGTAGATGTAAATAAAGAGATAATAGCTTAAATTATGTACCTGCAGCAGTTAAGGATACATGCTACGTTTAAGACTGCAGGGGTGGTTAATATATAAAATAAGTCTTAAGTTCATTACAGATGTGGAACTCGCAGCAAATGCAAAGGTATTCAGGACCGCATGCGAATATACCAACTTCATCCTCTATGGGAAGCGCTCAAATGGGTGCGGCAATGGTACCACGGGTTTCCGGAACTCTACCTCCTGAAATGCAGCAGCATTATGCTGCAAGACGACCGCCCTTTTGCTTACAAACACCTGGGCCAGCTATAGCTTCTGCTGTTCCGGGGACAACTACTCGATTAAGGGTTAGTTTCACTATGTTGACATCACTATAACAATAATAGCATAAAGGGACTTTCGTAAGTGCATTGCATTAGCATTAGTAAGACAGTAAGGTTTTTTAAATTAAAATCTCAAAAAAGTAAGTAGATAGAGGGTATATCCATTTTCTTCTTTAAGAACGTCTGCATTGTATCTGTGTTAAATGATTTCACTACCTAGATTATTCGTAAGTGGTATAATCACTAACACAGTTAACATAAATTCATTTTCCTTTCATTAACTCTATATTAATAGACTGCTAAGCCAATAAAAAAATTATAGTATTCGACTCCACCGCCCAATTCGGCAACACATCAGCAGTTGCAGTCACAGTATCCATCGCATTCCATGGTTCAGGTACTGTTTATTTTTCGTTTTTTTCAAAATATGCAAATTTTCGCTTCAGTTGTTTGGTAAGGATTTTGATGATTCATCAGTACTGCAAATGTGTGAGACGAAGTGTTAGGTCTCTTCATGTGTTTGCGCTTTTTTCTTGTGTTGTGGTAAAAGTGGTATTTTTTTATATTGCAGGGAGGCCGCGTAGTTGGTGCACCATCAAATCCCTTTCCGCTTATGGGACCATCGACATCAACAGGTTTCACGGGAATACATGGTACAACTGGATCATTAGGACAGTCAGCGTCAGGTCTAAATGTTTTACCTAGTGGTATGCATACGTCCAATGCTGCTTCAGGTCCGGGTTCAACTGTGGCTACAGTTATACATCCTTCATTTGCCCAGTTTACTCAGCCTCAACCTATGCAGTTTCCAGCAGGCAGTGTTGAAGCAACAACAATCAGTCAACGAAGGAGACGGAAATTAGTGATGAAAGATTTGATCCGAGTAAGCCAAAATCATATAACACGTGCTCTCCGTTGTTAGTAAATGGAGAGTTGTATACATTCCTGTTTTTTAGGTGAGTACGAAGCGTATAACGATGGCTCTACGTAGCGGTTTAGAAACGGAAGCAACATGGGCACTGAATGCATTGAATGTTATGCTATACGACGACTGCGCTCCACCAACAATGTTGAATCATACTCCTGGACTTCTGAACGTGCTCGTTGAGCATTTCAGGGCACTGTTGTCTCTTCTTTATCCGAAAGTGTTCGAGGTTTTTATTTTTGCTTTCGAGAATTCCAGACTTGGCAATTATTATAAATAAGCGAGCAAAATTTTAAAATTTTAATCGATGCCAGTGATTACCATGTTGTTTAGTCCAAAATTTGATTTCTTTTACATATTTTTAGCGAAGTTTTTTAAAGATTTTGTTGTCATTCTCAATAATATATTTTTCAGGTAAGTGCAGAATCTAAAGCACGAACAACGGATAATGAATACAGTGAGTTTTGGATACAGTCTTCGGAATTCGAACATACAACAACACCTTCTTTGATTGCATCGCGGAGTTTAAAAAATGAACCGACAAATTTCACAAGGATATCACGTACAGGTCAGTTTTATAAATGAATTAAATGCTTGTGTGGACTATGTATTTATACTTGTGAAAATCAATCAATGGGTTGATGAAGTTGAAAAAAAAATGATATTTCCATAGACTTTATATTTAAGAACAATCTTAATTCCATGAAGATTATAATTAATTGGAATGATTCAAACGATTCGCTAATGTTTCCGTGCTATTTATAGCTTTATGAAATTTGTTTAGGTCGAACAGTACATATTGAAAACAAGGAACTACCTGAATGCTTGAAACGTGCCAGGCCAAGTGGATGGTCGTGTGACATTGCGGATGGTACCTATTTACATTAACTTTTAATGAGATTACTTGTAGATGGCTGTGACCCATATATCTGAACTGCTTTTGCAACTTTCACTGCAGAACTAATCTATCAACAAGTCTATAGAAGTAGGTGCTAGGGAAGAGTATGTTGCAGAGTAAGTCATCATTTCCCAAACACTTCCAGTTATTGTTTTTGCGAATATTCAAAACTTGTTTATTCCTATTTCCAGAAACTCTTTCAATGGATTATCACGAGTCGCGAATGTTAAGTGGATTAGGGGGTGAAACATCATCATATCTGGCAGCTCGGTTGGTTACTGATATTGAGTTCAGGAAACAGTTGAAAAAACCGAGATTTTTTATAAAGGAAGTGAATGGAATATCAAAGGTGATTGAAGCTGACATCGATGAAGTGGCGTATTATAACAAAATTGATAAGGTAATAAGCGCTGTTCTTTATCTTTTCACCACCTTTATTTTATTTTTATAAAGTCGAATAACCTCTTATTCCACCACGACTTTCGCGTGACCTTTTTACAAATTTCTTTGTCATTCACCTTCGTAATTGCCATCTGCCAATTAAATATTTGCAGTCAATGCGAGTCATTCCATCCGACATGGAAAAGGCTAGTGATGAGGATGAATACAAGAAGGTAGTGGAGCTGAAGACTTTACGACCAACGGCACTTTGCGTTCGTGACGAATCGCGATTACAATTGGTAAGCTATAATTAAGAAATTTAAATTAAGCCTTATATCAAGTAGATACTCTCCACTGATCTGAATCGAAGTCAGCCGAAAATGTGTGAAGATGAATATTTTGTCTGTAATATTTTTGATTATGCTGTATAATTTTCTAATACCATCAAAGTCTTTTCCATTTATAGGTAAGGCGTTGCTTAGCAGTTTCGAATGTTCTGCGTGGTTTATCCTTTCTACCTGGTAATGAAGGGCCAATGGCTAGACATGCTGGCCTTTTGTATATCATTGGGAGATTGTTACGACTTTATACGGACGAGAGGACGTTAAAATTGCCGGGATCGCTCGTAAAACAGTTGTCAAAGAATGTGAGCTCTAATTTCCTAAATCAATTTTTAAATGTAGTGCAGCTTAACTAATTTATTATAATTTCATTGATTGTTTATAAATTACATCTCATTTGTTTAACTCTCACGGTATCTTTTGAAGGAGGACAAGACATTACCACTGAAACAGTCTTCTGTTAAGTGCGAAGGAACATCATATTTTCAGGAGGAAATTCAACCAGTTCTAGCTGTCGGCACACTTTCAGAAGCAAATCGTCGTTTGATGGAGCCTGGAGATTTATTAGAATCAGATGATGATGATGCGTTATTGCTGTTTGAAACAGCTTGTCAGTTGCGAGAAGATGCATTTGTTACTCTAGTACATATTAGTGTTCAGGTATGCATCTTTTAAGTGATCGGTTGTTGATTTAACAATAAAATTTTGAAATTATGTTTTTTAATGTGTTCTTCAATATGCTTCTGATTTTCTAGCTGGATCTGAATGAGTTTGAGTCAGATGTTGCTTGGCCATTATTTGATGCACTTATTCATTGGTGTGTAAGTAAGTGTGCAGAAGCGAAGGATCCATTGATTTCAGCTGGCGTGTCTCCTAGGTGCGTTTTTTTTCGTACATGATTAACTTATGTAAAGTGTATTATTTTTTATGTGACAAATTCGCTAATGTGATGTGAACATTGTTCTATTTACGTGAATTTATTTGGTTAGCTTGTATGACTAAATTGAATAGAGCAAACCGTAATTGCGCTGATTGTTTTAAATAAAATAACTATTCATCTGTTTTGGAGTATTATTTTAAAGGAACTATGCATTGGAAGCCTTGTGCAAGCTATCAGTAATTGAACATAATGTTGATCTTCTTCTATCCACGGGTCCGTGGTCGCGCTTGGAAAGTTTTATCAAAATGTTGGTCGGATTGCTTGCTTTGAATGAAGAAATACCAAGCAGGTTGGTAATGTAGACTTCCCTATTCTTAAGTTTCCTTTGACATGGGAAAAGTATTTAAATGTGGCGCAATTAAACTTCGGATTTATGCATCTGCTGTCGAAACATACTCATTGGGGATATAAGACCAAGAGAGATTATAAAACAATCTGAAAAATGAATAAATGTGGCCAATTTTTGTCGTTTTGCTGTAGCTTCTTCGTTCACACTTTTCCCTATGTTGAATTTTTGATGACTTTTTCAGAGAGTTTGCGATTGTTATACTTTGTGCTTTATGCACTATTTCGGAACCGACATGCTACGTTGTTGCGGCCGAATCGCCAGCAGTGCATTATTTGGTGGCATTTCTTGAGATGGGCGATGCAAATATGCATCAGGTTTGCGATGAAGTTATTTTGCTTCATAGCTATCTTAAAGAGAAGTAGATTTTAATATGAATGCTATTAGTTGAAGCACTTCCTTTTTCCAGGCGGGAGGTGTGGACATGTTTCTGTTGAAAACTTAGGTAAGAAGTGGGAAATACACAGTGTTTTTCTTCTTTTCTGCGGGGACAGATGCGCTTCATGTTGAGCATTCTTGAAATTATTTTCAAAGTGGTCATATCGGATTGAAAATAGTATTTCAGATAGCACAGCAACACGGAATCCAGGCACTTCGAGATAATCCAGAGATGATGGGTACCTCAGTCCCGATGTTAAGGAGAGCAGCATCTATTCTTCAACAGCTCTGTAAAGTGCCAGCTTGCAGGCAACATCTTACTCGGCATCAGCAAAGGCTACTGCAGTTCACAATGTCACATCTGGTATGTTTGTTATTTGGTTAATGTCATTTGTTTATCATGGTTTTTCTATCCCTAAATAATCTAGGCTAGCTATCTGACTTTATCATGATGTCGTGTTGGCTCATTTTTTAATAACTTCAGATGGATTCGCGAGTAGGACAGACCATCACGAATGTCCTATACGCAATGCAATATTTTTCGGATAAAGAGAGGGAAAGTATTGAAAAGGGCGCAGAATCAGATGAAGAGAGCTGCCAGCGAAAAGTGATCAAATTGAACGTAAGGACGAATGGTGACGTGAAATTATTGAAAAATGAATCAGAATCAAGAGATTTCCCTGAAAATAGCTCCATGAAACGTGATGCTGAACATAATGGTCTTCCAAAAGGTGTTTTTTCGTTTACATTTTTTTTTTTTGAATTTTTGAAACCAGCTTTTTAGACTGAATCGAAACGTTACATGTATTCCCGTTGAATATAATTGTATATATATATATATATACTTGTATTTATCGGTAAGTCCCTGAAAAAATCTAGTTGGTATTTCGTTTTTTAGCATTAGTAGAAAACGCAGATGATCATGGAGACTACTCGAAACAAACAAAGGATGATATATCATCACATGCAGCGAAAAAGCAGAAATTGGAGAATGGTCTTTTGAATTACCTACCGAGCAGCAAGGGTAGTATTACCAGTTCTTCAACTCCGAATTCTTTGAAACCTCTGGTAAATGGTGATGTGAAAGCTGCTGTAACATCTGTCCAAGCTGTTTCCAGAAGCACTCCAGCGACACCAGCCGGTTCGGTACAAGCAGTTGCATAAGCTATCTCTACATATTCGTAGATTTCTTCTCCCTTAATCCTACCGAAAGGTAGTTTTCTGAGACAATGTGGCGTTATGTCATCGTTTCGAGAAGCAGGAAAATGAGCTCAAGAAAGTATTCATTGTTGTTTTAACGGGTACTGCTTTTTATTGCTTTTTGAATTCATGTTAGGCGTTCCTTATGTTCAGTTATATGGTCTGACTTTCTAATTCGATGGACGATTATCCCAGTTTTTGGTACCGGAACTTATTTAAAACGTGCGAGAGATTTATAGATTTCAATTGAGGTTGTAGTGTAATGTTAGTTTCTACATGTTGATTGGACTGAAACTATAGACTCTCTTGGAGAAGGCGGAAGTGGTAGGAGGAATTTGTGGATAGTATGAGGAAGTGAATGCGAAAAAGGAGTATCCCTTCCGCCGGCCTCATCCTTCTCCGTTTTTTCTTCAGGTTTACTCGCAGCTTTTATAATAGCAGTTTGTCGGGGTTTTGAAATGTTTTTTAGCACAATCATTTCCAAATATAAAAATTTATTGCTTGTATTTACTGGTTCGGTACACGATGGTCCACTTCATTGTCTTTGATCAGCCGAAACAATAAGTTCGGCATAGTATGCGGTGTTTTTTGTTTTCAACTTTTCGTAGTAATGGTAATGTCGGACTTTATATGTGTATATCAGTACCATTCAATGATTTCATATCCTATTCCGTATACTCGTTGACGCTTAATATTTCTACCCATTGTTCTTGGTTATCAGTTGTTTCTTCCGGAAGGGCACAACTTATTGTTTTTTTGTTTATTCTTGTGTTTGAAGTATGCCTTTTTGCCACCAACATGCACATACTTTCATGTTTTCGTACGTTTCAAGAAAATATTGTTCTTAAAGAACTTTGTTTTGAGAGGACAATGGTAGTTCCCTTTTTTCGATTTTGTTGCTTATGTATTATATGATGCCTGAATAGCAGTTTCAAATTCCATTTTAAGCATTTTAATTGCAAAAACGCCGATTTATCAATGATTTTGCGAGCGAAAACACTATTTTAAATTTGGAATTAATCAAGACTGCATAATTTCATTTTTCCATGGATCTTTCTCATGATTCGTACTCTGTGAATGCTGTTTCTCTGGATTGTTCTCATGATCCTTACTACCGTGGAATACTGCTACTATTCTTTAATATATTTTCTCACATTTATGTTTTGTTCATGTTGATTGAGCTGTTTTCGAAATGATTTGTATTATTGTTATTACGTCGTTTTATTTATTTATTTCCGACTGTTTTGACACGAGTTTTGACATAAAAGTATTATATAATAACGTTAATGTCTCATAGAATCAATTTTCTCAACAGGAGGCGATGATTTTTGTTCTGTTTATTTCCTTCACATAAGATTTTCCTTTACATTTGGAGCAGCCAAGTACAAAAGAAATCTGGTTAAATTATGGAAAGCATTCCAAAGGCTTAAAATTGCAGTTATACAATGCCATGCAGTGCATTGAGTTTGTTTATTTAGTTTTCCGCATTAAACATTTTCAAAAGACAGATGCACTCATTGTTGAAGATTACTTTACCCCTCTATTCCGTGGTTGTCTGATCCAATTCAAGGCTCATTCATGCTAAGTACTGTATGCACTACGGAAGTGGAGTTTCGAGAATCGAAAAAACACTGAGTAAAAATTTTCGAGGGAAAGAGACAGGACGGTGTTTCACACTTATCATTCATTTGAACTGGAAGATGCTCATCATGCAATTAGTAGAAGTTTTGCGTAATTATCCCATTGCCACACGTGCTGGTCAACAGTTGAAATAAAATTGAACAGAGGGAGAAGGCTTTTCGGTAAAACATGCACAAAAGTATAACACTCAAGTAATGCAACAGGAAATTAAAGAGCATAGTAAACAGTAAACATTTCTAAAAACAGAGTCGCAATGCTGACCATCCTCAGTACGCTAGAAAAAAAACAACGAATAAAGGCTAAAGCCGAAGAATATACATGATTTTTTGCAAGATGACCTTACTCTTTCACCGTTAAAAATCAACCTAATTAGGAGAACATGAAAAATGACAATAGCGATTCGAAACGAAGAGAATCAAGAGGAACGATATTAATAACTTGGATGAAAAATGATCTACAATAAGAAAACTAGAAAGATTAGCCATCAAATAGATAATGATATAATAAGTTGGATCCGTGATTAAGGAGAGGAGATAAAAATAACTGAATTAAGCTAAGAAGTATGAGGGAGGGAAATACTCAGAGCCGAACAGAACTATAACTAATAAACTAGAAATTGAACTAAATGATACAGCGAGGAAGTGAAATCGCTAAAATTGTAGCAATAAATCGAGAGGTAGAAAGTGAGAAATGAATTGAACGATGAAATTGGTAAGGGCACTAACAAATGCGCTTCAAAAGTTGTAGGAAATAAACAAAAGAATTATGAATAAAGTGAATTTAGAGGAAAAATTATTGCCGTTCGTAGAGAAGCAGAGATCGACTTGCCTTCTTTTTATTCCTGGTTTCACCGTACACATATAGCATTGTAGAAGATGAAAACAACATCAGGTTTGCTTGATCTTTGTGCTGCCCACTCCATGATTAGTCGATACCCTGACACAGAGAAATTAATGGTTAGCTGGTATAAAGTGATTATACAAAACTTCACTTAACTGTTGTTTGGTCGTGAGATAGCTGTAAATGATGACATCATCAGATTTGTGTTAGTAAAGGTAAGGAAGAGTGAGCAGTGGCACGACTTCGATAGTGTAAAGGACCAAACATGTCCATTCTTTCCAGCAAGTAGTTGAAGTACTTGTGAAAAGTTGAAGTACAACTCCTCACCTCTACATGGCTTTTAAACTATTGCACTAAGCACTTATCATCTCTGTTACCTCCAGTAAAGAGATCTTGAGAGCAATTTTGTATGGATGTGAAAGCGGACATCAGAAACATCTTTTAATTATGCATCTGCCACCTTTTTCTATTTTTCCGCAAATGAACAATCACAGTTACTCCTTCATTCCTTATCCCACAATGTTTAATAGATTTTTTTACTAATTTCATAATTCTTCATTGTTAATAATATTCATTCAAGAATTTTAACCTTTGACCAATTCTCAAATAGCATGACCTGACAGGTATCAACTGATTATTCATTTCAGCTAAAATATATTTATATGTAACTCCCAACGCTGGGAACAAAAGGTCATATATGTATGTATCGCGAAACCGCATTCCATATTTCTTCACTCCTCAACAACAGGTGTGTGAATTTTCAGGTAAAAATCAGTGTTTTTTTTTGGAATGGCTCAATTAATCGCATTGGCATTAGGGAGCGGGGAAGTTGGAAAGGTGTTATCAACACTCACATGATCACACTATCTATTCAATCACACCTCACGAAAATAAAATCCACCTCAGGAATATTATAAGAATATCCCTATCGTTGTGAATGTTTGCATGCCGAGCTTGGTTTGAAGCGAATCATTGTCACGCATCTCTCATTGGTCAATTCTCACAATTGATGATGTGGTTGGCATTGTTTGCTCGTTCGGTGAAGTTGGACATAAAGTTAGAAGTGTAAATTTGGGAAGTAATAGGTAGATGGGGATTAAAATAAAAAAAGTGATAAGGTCAAGGCTTATGATTTTAATTTTTGCAGCACGTCTTTGCTGCAAAAATTGGCGATTGGCATTTACCTGGAAGAAATTAGCCAGTGTAGACGTCATAGACGTAAGGCAATATTGCGGCACAGTGGATGCGCTATAGTCGTGGACTTGGAACAGCGGAAACGAAAATACGGTTGGAGGAATCTCAACCACTGATGAGCGAATCGGTCGCCAGTACCAGCAGGGACGACATCTTTCTGTTGCCTCTAGCAAGTACCTCGCCGTCCTCCACAGTGAATCGTTTCACGGGATTTTTCGATACTATCATGTTCAGGTTTTACAAACTTTTGATCTCATAAATTATTTCCATTCATTGTCATAGTGCCATAGTAAGATTATATATTTTTTCCTTTTCTTCTTCCTTCTTAAGTGCTGCTAAGAAGAGGACTAAAGCATACTGTAGAAAGCTCAAAATGCCACTTACCCATAGTTCTCTAGCCGAATTTGAGTTTATAAGTGAAAAGAGGATTTTCAATAAAGGAAATTTTCATTCTAATAAACAGATCGATAAGATGTGTCCTTTTGAAGATTGATATGGCTTCAGGTGCTGTTGGAATTTCCTCCGTAGACGGCGCACGTTGCATTCTCGAACAATAAGAGTTGGCCACGGGCCGGTATTGGGTTCAGCTCATTCGTTTCCTCCCAATACAGTGTGTAATCAGAAATACAACATTTTCACTTTTGTCCCATTGGTTAGAATTTACAGTCCTACAACATATGCAATGATATGTAATATTTTTAAGTTTTGCTGTACTTTCACAAACAGTTTTATAGGTTCTTTTTCAACAATTCAAATTCTTCCTGAATCTCTACTTTTTGCTGATGGCGTGCAGTCAGTTTATACCAGCAATTCAGATTGGAGCACCAATCACTTATTGGGGACCGTTGGTAAGCATTTTATAATCATTAAATAATGCCAAGGAGTAACTGTCCAGGTTGTAGGGTTTCGTGCTAACAGTAACACTGATTCGCGAAGCTATGGATGATTTCGTTCGCTTCTTGAGAGATCGAGAATTGAATAGTGAGAAATATGAAAAGCTAACACCACAAGGAATCGACTATATATCGAGCTCGTAAGTTTTTTTAGACTTTTCTTTTCTTCTAACTTTTGCTTGGTAGAAGTCTTACTGTTCCATATTGCAGAAATATCAAAGTCGGTGATCTGATTATTATACAGAAGGATAAGCGTGTACCTGCAGATGTAGTGTTCTTGCGAACTACTGAGAAATCGGGCGCTTCCTTTATTAGGACTGATCAGTTAGATGGTGAAACTGACTGGAAATTGCGGATTGCTGTTCCCGTTACTCAGAATCTTGTTTCGGACCAGGTATGTCTTTTCGTGTTTTGTACTTTTGCTTTCTTTAGTGTGAAATCTCATTTCATTTCAGGACATATTCGATCTTAACCTGGAAATTTATGCCGAAAAACCACAAAAAGATATTCACGACTTCGTGGGTACCTTCAAGGTGTGATTATGTATCATTTTTTTAATTCACTAAAATCTTCAATTCTTATTTATTTACATATTTGCGCTGGAATAGAACTTATTAACTTATTCCAAATTTCTAGATGAGTTCAGAAGACTCAACACAAGACGGGTCACTGAATGTCGAAAATGTTCTTTGGGCTAATACAGTTCTTGCTAGTGGTCGTGTGGTAGGTGTTGTTGTATATACTGGTCGCGAAACCAGATCTGTCATGAATACTACATTGCCGGAAAGTAAAGTTGGGTTACTCGACATAGAGGTCAAATCTTTTCATACTTTTACCGATTTAGTTGTTAGAGTTTAATATTGAATTGAATTAAAAATTCTTTTTTCCAAAATTTTGTAAGTAGTTTAGAAGCATATTGTGATTTTTTTTGATTCCAGGTCAATAATTTAACCAAAATATTATTTCTGTTTGTGGTCGTGCTGGCTTCTGTCATGGTCGCAATGAAGGGATTGGATAAGAATTGGTAATTTATTCTGCAATCATTTCTCTTGATCAAAATTTGTGTGTGTTATTCCTATAGAATTAGAAGAAACTTGTTTCAGGTATCGATACTTGATGAGATTTATTCTATTATTCTCGTATATAATCCCGATATCACTGCGTGTCAACTTGGATATGGCTAAGCTCTTTTATTCATGGCAAATTGGAAGAGACCGTCATATCAAAGGTTATCATGTCTATTTATTTTCTTCTTTGTTTTGATAAGAGGATACCTCTATAGATTATATCTTTCCTACTTGCTTCAAATTTACAGACACCGTTGTACGTAGTAGCACCATTCCTGAAGAATTGGGCCGAATTTCATTCTTACTGTCTGACAAAACGGGAACTTTGACAATGAATGAAATGCGCTTCAAGAAGATTCATCTAGGGACAGTGGCGTTCAGCAGCGATGCTTTTGAAGTATTCTTTTTTGCTTTGATAAAAGACCGACATTGATGCTTTATACATTATAGAACTTAGGAGCGGTTATGAACAAAATTTATCTTTTACGGAACTTTTTTAGGATGTATCTCGACATGTGTTGTCAGCTTATTCTGGGAAGCTTGGTCGTCACTCATTTTCTAGTAAGTTGCAAACAGCAGTAGAAGCGATTGCGCTTTGTCACAATGTAACACCAACAGAAGAAAATGGGCAGATTAGTTACCAGGCCGCCAGTCCTGATGAGGTTCTGTTTTAGATGTTTGGTGCAATTCTAAAGAATGAAATTGTGTTGATGTTAAGGAAGGGTATTGCAGGTTGCACTGGTTAGATGGACGGAACAAGTGGGTGTTCGGCTTGCCCAACGTGATCTCACTTCAATGCAACTACAGCTTTCAAATGGTCAAACAAAAAGTTTCCAAATTCTTCATTTGTTTCCCTTCACATCTGAAACAAAACGGATGGGGATCATCGTTAAGGTCTGTCATGTAACCACTATAAGCGTGAATATTATTTGAGACAAGGTGAAATGCAACCATTTCTTCACTTTGTTAATAAGCAATGTATAAATATTTAGGATGAAACGAGTGATGAGATTAGTTTGTTAATGAAAGGTGCAGATACCATAATAGCTGGAATGGTGCAATATAACGATTGGTTGGAAGAAGAATGCAGTAACATGGCTAGAGAAGGTTCATTCTTTTCAGTAATATTCTATGAAATAATATTTTATTTACAAATTCTTTTCAGGATTACGCACTTTGGTAGTTGCGAAGAAAGTGTTGTCAATGGAACAATTAGTTGATTTTGAGAAGCATTATCATCAAGCTAAAATGACGGTGGTTGATCGAAGTGAGCATATGGCTGCAGTACTGAGACGATTGGAGACCGATTTACAGCTAATTTGTTTGACTGGTGTCGAGGATAGATTACAAGTACTGATATGTCGTTTCCCATTAGTATAGAAAATAATAATTCAGCACTTGTAGAGTGTATTGATCTCAACTTATATTGCCCTTGTTTAGTTGCTTGCTTGTGTTTCTTGCTCTATTAATTGCCCCTGTTTAATTATGTTCCTTTTTGGTTTAGATGTTTCTTTTTTGCATGCTATTTAAATTATTTTTTTAATAATTTTAATGATCCGAGGAGAATTGTAATTAATTTTTCCAACATTAAAATTGCTTAGCTCTAACACTAATCAGATTTTATAGTCACTGTAACTGTAAAACACATGAATTGCATTTAAAAAAAAGAAGAACGTAGTTGAAGTCTTTTTTCGTCTATCATTTGCTGCCAATTTAGATTGACAATCTGGACATATGAGGAGTCACACATATTTTATCGTTCTTTGAAGAAAATTTGGTTTATTTGCAGGATCAAGTGACGACGTCGTTGGAATTGCTTCGAAATGCGGGGATCAAAATCTGGATGCTGACTGGAGATAAATTGGAGACTGCGATTTGTATTGCGAAATCATCTGGGCTCTTTTCCAAGACAGACAATGTCCATATATTCGGACAAGTCCAGACTAGAATAGATGCTCATAACGAACTAAACGCCTTGAGGAGGTCTTTGATAACCATTTCAAACGGGATGATTAAAAAGGAAACCACTTTTATATCTTCTTTCTTCGTAGCTTTATTAGTCGTTTGCAGAAAAAACGATGTGGCACTAGTTCTTTCTGGATCTGCTCTTAATGTATGCTTGCAATATTATGAAGCTGAAGTGGCTGAACTTGTACGTTCGTTCTTTTTTCCTTCATTCCTGTTCAATTTTTCAGTAGTTATCTTTCTACTTAGCGGAACACCTTGCCTCAGTACTGAAAAATGTTATAGAACAAGAAAACAGAGAAGCTTGATTGTCTTGCACCCATTCTTTATCGGAGGTATTTTTGTATTGTATAATGAATGAGATCGGTAAAGTTTTTGTTTTTTCTAGTAATTTCAGTTCTTCAAGT